GCCGCGGTAACCCAAGGAGGGGTTGCTATGAGTCGGGGCAGACTCGATGGCACAAAACAACAAGAAGTTTCTTCTAGCTTTATCCTAGAAAATCCATACAAATTTATTCTAATGATGTAAGGCCCTAAATAGTTTAATACGAATCTGACTTATGGACATTTAAAAATAAGAGATGTCTGATTTATTTCAGTAAAATGCTGTTGGGACAGTGCCAGTGGTGCATTGAAGAGAGGAGCAGGTGGGAGCCCAGCCTGTGGATTTGATTGAATTCTTACTGTCATTCACATCTGAACTCACAGCACAAGGTGGTCCTGGGTCCCTTTGAGTGGTCTCTTCCCAAATGGTGATTTGTTGTTCACACTGAGTCAATGCCAATGCAGAGAGATCATGGGACAGAGCAGCGTTGCCCCGTAGGGTTTTCCTGCCCAGGAAAGACTATGAGGGTGGCAGAGTGTTTCATTCTGCTGCATCTAGGGTTGCCATGGTCAGAACCAACTCACAGCACCCAACAAGAGTCTTCACAGGAGCAGAACACCAGGTCTTTCACCTGTGGAGGCACTGGGTGGGTTCAGACTGCCAACCATTCTATTAACGTGGAGTGCTTAACTGTGGTGCCACCAGGGCTCCTCGGACAGCAGGCTGCCTGATGTATGTCCAGCTCCACACCCAGGTCTTTTTGGGAACTCACCTGGCTGGGCTCAGTTTCCTCCTCTGTGAAGCGGATGATGTGATGAGCTCCTGAGACTGGGCTCAGGACTGGGATTGGTTATCACTCTCTAGACCTAGAGCTGTTCAGAGCCGTAATAGACTGAATTGTGTCCCCTAAAATGTCCTAACCCCTGTCTGTACCTGTGAACGTGGCCTTGTTGGGAAATAGGATCTTTGAAGGGATCATCAGTTAAGCAAACACAGATTCATACTGGAGTAGGGTGGTTTCCAATCTCATGTGAATGCTATTGTCAGAAAAGAGGAGAAAAGACAGAAACTAGCTGAGAGATGATGGCGCTCCTATAAACGGAGGAATACCAAGAAATGCCTGGGGCTACCAGAAGCCGGAAGAGCCTGGGAATGGCCCTACAGTGGTCAGAGAGAGGACAGCCCTGAAGATGGCATTGCTTTTGGACTCCAGAACAATGAGACGATAAACTCACGCTCTTATAAGCCACCCCCTTTGTGGTACTTTGTTGCCCTAGCCCCAAGAAACTACTAGAAGAGCAGACCTGGGCTGGGCAGGGACGACTCACCGGAGCTCCTGGTGGCCCAGGTGGGCCCTGGTGGCCTCGAGGTCCTGGAGCTCCCTGGAACACAAGCCAAACACATATTAGCCATGACTCTCCATGTGACGGGAGCCACTACCACCATGCCACCTTCCCAACTCAGAGCTGACTTCCTGAGTCCTCAGGAGGGGCCTGGAGGCACCACAGGCATTTTCATTTGGCTAAACATCAATTTGTTCCACTTCTGAAAGGTCTGATCTGAGCTCAACATGCCACCTCAGCCTCAGGGATGTGGCCTTTCTATATGTGCCACCACCCAAGGCCCACGACAGGGAGGTCCCACGGTCCTCTTACCTGCTCACCCTTTAAGCCCTCTCTCTGCACCTGAGAGACAAAACAGGCATTAGTGGAAAATAAAGGCTGGCAATTTCTTCCCGATGGTCCACTTCTCTCAACTCTGCAAAGGTTCACATGGCACGCTGTCATGCAGCACTTTGTACTTTTCTCTGATTTCACCCCATTTTTCATGTTGAAAGCCTTTGATCCGGCTCATATTCTGTCCTGGTCTTAGAAGTAAGGACTCTCCCAACACCCTGATTCCATCAACTGATGACTTTGTGATTCCAACCATTATGATTGTAGGACTTACCACAGAGCCTGGTATACCAGGGGATCCTGCAGGCCCCACGTCACCCTGTGTGGAAATAACAAATATTTCAATGGATATACTCCTTTCCACCTTCTGTCATTCTCCACCTCTTTAGATGCCTCCAAGGCCCTTGCTTTTTCTCACCTGCTCAAGAGGCCACTTCCTTCTCTGGACCTATTATGTAGAACATCATGATAACTGTCTTGCTCACTTCTTACAATAGTCTCAAATGTTTTGTGCCTGATTCTTACGTCTGCATGAAGGTCACAGAGCCCTTCTAGAGGGAAGAAGCCTGATTTCTCTATTGTGTACATCTAGCCCAGTGCCAAGATCTGGTTGGTGCTCTGTAAATACCGCCTAGCTTTCCACAACCATTTTCTGCTTACGAGCAGCCCATCATCCACTATTCAGTGAGTGCCTGCTTATACCAGGCACTGAGTTAGGCATGGAGGGTGGGCAGTAAGTGCAGTGTATGGCATGTTCATCCCTGTGTTATCTTCAGCATATGGTCAGCATTTAAATAACTAAAAAATATGCCGTGGTGATCCCCATCCATTTTCACAAGTCACCGTATATAGAAGGCTTGGTTGGTACCTTCTCCTCCTTTGGCATCATGTCACCTGGGCCATGATGGCTGCATGTGGAACAGCTTCCCCACGTGTGAGGGGCAAATGCTTATTTACAGAACACTACCAGAGCTATGCACTGGGCTGGATATATGCATCAGCTATTGTAGCTATCTGTAGCTAAATTATGAATCTTTTGAGCGTCCGAGCTATGTCTTTCTCCTTTTATTTATACCAAGTCTATCATATTAGCTTAGCTTGTTTTTATTTTTGTGTTTATTGCTATCACTCTTATACCCCAGAAAGAGACTTTTCAAGAATAGTCATGAATCAATGAATCAGGACAAGTGTTTTGATCATCTGTCCAGGTAGTCCCACCCAATGTGAGGTCAAGTATTCTGACATATTTAGTCATTAGTGAGGAAAACGAAGGAGCTCTGGTGGCGTAGTGCCTAAGGCATTTGACTGCTTAACCAGAAGGCTGGCGGTTCAAACCCGCCAGCCACTCCTCATAAGGAAGGTTGGGCAATCTACTTCCATAGTGACGCCACCTTGGAAACCCAAGGAGGGGTTGCTATGAGTTGGAGACAACTTGACAGCAGTGAGATTGGTTTGGTTTGGTTTAAGGAAAATAATGATTCTGGCATTCATTTTCTATCTTCCAGGACTTGTTCTGAGGACTTTACCTGGATTAACTCTTTTCCCTATGATACCTTCTTTCCCAATGAAGGGACCAAGAAGCTAAGGCATGGAAATGTTCAGTGACTTAGTCAAGGTCAAAAAGCTAGGAAACGATAGAACCAAGCAGAAGTCTTTACTTGAATCATTTTCCTTCTACTATCTGTGTAGCACACTTATGTAATGATCATTTCTAGTCATTGTGGTAGCCGGCCACCAAGATAGTCCCCAGTGTGGGTTGAGTTGTGTCCCCTCAAAAGGTATGTTCAGGTTCTAATCTTGGGCACCTGTGAACATCATCTTATTTGAGAATAAGGCTTTTGTAGATGTAATTAAGATGAGGTTATGCTAGAGTAGGTTGGGCCCTAATCCAATGACTGTATCCTTCTAAGAACAGGGAAACTTGGACACAGAGACACAGCAGAGACTGACATATAGAGGGAAGACAGCCATTTGAAGACAAAGGCAGAAACTGGAGTGATGTAGCCACAAGCCAAGGGGCGGCAAGGATTTTTGGGAACTACCAGAATCTAGGAAGAAGAGAGGAGAGAGGATTCTTCTACAGCCTTCAGAGGGGCACAGTCCTGCTAGCACCATGATTTCAGACTTCTCACCAGCTTTCAGACTGTGGAAGAATTATGCCACCCAGCATGGCATTCGTTACAGCAACCCCAGAAGACCAGTGACCACTCCCATATGTGACCAGTAGCATACAGCCTACAAGATGGTATGTTGCTTCCAAGATTAGGTTAAGAATGTCTGTGGCCTCCATCTGGGGCTCTGTCTGTCTCTCTCACTACCACTCTGGGGAAGCCAGTTTCCATGTCTGACCAGCACTAGGGAGAGGCTCAGGGAGGGAGGAAGGGAAGCCTCTGGTCAACAGTAGCAAGAAGGCCTTCCAAAGACCCTGAGGTGACCACAACCTCACAAGAGATCCTAAGCCAGTATTCTCCACCCATGCCGTTCCCAGATTCCTGCTTCTAGAGAATGTGAGAGTGAATCAAGGACTGCTGTCCTAAGCTACTAAGGTGCAGGGTACTTCATTACACAGCAGCGGGTAACTAATACAGCCAAAGAGCCAGGTCTGCAAAACGCTGCTGCTGCTGTCCCCAGGTGCTATCGAGTCACCTTCGACTCAGTGACCCCGTGACAGAGCAGAACTGCCACACGGGGCCTTCTCGTCTGTAATCTTTGCAGAAACATATTTTGCTGTGGAGAAGCTGGGTGTGTACCCACTTGGACAACAGCTAAGCACTTAACCATTGTGCCACCAGGGCTCCTTATAGTAAAAGTCCTAAGATAGTACAAATAATGCATGCACCCACTGATACTTACATGTGGCTCCACATTGGATGGACAGGTAGATAAGCCAAGTTTTAAACTTTGGTTTGAAACCAAATCCACTGTGGGGTCTTGTACAAGACACCCCTTGTTTCTGGGCCTCTCTTCCTTTACTGCAAAATGAGGGTGTTCAGAATTGTCCACTCCATGGCACCACTGACTGCCTCAGACTGTGTAACAGCTGAGGCTCGTCTCAATGACGCTCTCCCAGAATAAGTTGAGAGCTATCACCCCACCTGGGCATTACTGTTTTTTTATTCCAATGATTGCCTTCCAAATAACACCCTGCCCCTTGACTCTGTCTTCTAACCTCTCCAACCTCTGCTCTCATCATGGTGTCTAATGAAAATTCAATCTGTTTCCCAAACTGGAGGACAAAACAACAATCTAGAAATGAGAGGAAAGTTTGACACATCAGATGAACACATGCATAAGTAGGCTTTTGAGCACATACAACGAGCAGCAGCAGGAAACAGAGACACGACTGAGGTGCAGCCTTCAAGAATCATCCTTCTTAGTGACTTGAAACAAACTACTATTTCAGAATTTAGCATCCCCCTGTCAAAGAAGTGAAGGGAATGTTAAAATCCTGACATCAGCCCATGGAAGTATCATGAGTCTCCAAGTTTAAGAGCTATTTTCAAAAGTAACAATGTGAATCTCATCTCTAAAAATACGTTGGAGAGAATAATTAGCTGAGTTTGAAGAGCTTCACGCCTCCCGTCCCCATTCCCAAGCTGGGCTATTCCAGCACGTAGGCTCTATTTATTTATTTATAATGTATACCTGTCTGCTCCTACAGAGATCAGAAGCAGCCTGGCTGTCCTTGCAGCACAGCCTGGTAACCAGCCTGAGTCAGTCAACGACCTTCACCTGAACTTGTCAAGGACCTATGCCAGGTTGAAGCGGTGCTTCTCGGGTCCCATCCAGAGTCATCCTTCTCTCCCCACAGCTATTCTCTAACCTGACATCCGATGTCTTTCCTAAGGGTCTGTCTAGGAATCTGGAAGAAAACCATTCTCTGGTAGACAGTGTCTCATCCACCTGCCATTAAGCCCAGGACTCATCGTACCTCCTTATTCCCTCTGAAGACAGACTCTCAGAATGCATAGGCAGGCTGTGATGTCCACACGCATTTCCACAGCCCTCCATGGAGTGCAAAGAATGTTTCCAGACAGTTATATTTGATTGAGTTGAAGTCCTCAGCAGCATGTTTATTTTTCTAGGCCTTGTTGAAAAATCTTCTAAGGCAGATGGCCAGTATAAGACACACCTTTTATTTTATTTACTAAAGACTAGTAAATTTCCAGGATTATTATTCTGATTTTAATATATATATATATGTACAATGCTATAGAGGAGAAAAAGGAAGACAGGGAGGGGCAAGAGGTCTGTGGGATTGTATTGGGATTTATCCACAGCCTTCCGTAAAACAAAACCTGCCATCAACTGGGTTCTGACTCACAGTGACCCTATAGGACTGAAGAATCCCAGAGGGCTTCTTCCAAGGTTGGAAATCTTTACAGAAGCAGACTGCCTCATCTTTCTCCCACAGGATGGCTGGTGAGCTTGAACCTCTGACCTTTTGGTTAACAGCCCAGTGCTTTAACCACTGTGCCACCAGAGCTCCTTAATGCAAAAAGACATTTTAAGAAGCATAGATTTTTAAAAGGCCTGGATATTATCTAGACCTTTCTAGAGAGCTCTGGTGGCATAGTGCCTAAGGCATTTGACTCATAAGCTAAAGGCTTATGGTTCAACCCACCAGCCACTCCTCGGAAGGAAGATTGGGCAATCTACTTCCGTAGAGATACTACCTTGGAAACTCAAGGAGGGGTCACTATGAGCTGAGATCAACTCGATGGCAGTGAGGTTTTTGTTTTTTTTTTTAAATGGCTTTTTACTTCTAAAAGTAGAAGTAATAAAAATACAAAGAATACCAGAAATTTCTCGAAGCTGACTTCTTGATGCTGAGCCATATTCCTGGCATCTAATTTGCATTTCAAGAAGCTCCCCAGGCTCAGCCCTCTCCAGAGCCTCCCGCCAATTCAACAGTTTCTACTTGTAAAATTTAGTGGAACTGATTACATTCGTAATATTGGGCAATGATTGTCATCATTCTTTTCCAAGTTATCCCACCATCATTAGCATAAACTCAATCCCCTTAAGCAGAAACTCAATCTCCCCTCTCCCTGACTCCTTGCCACCCCTGGTAACCACTATTCATCTCTGGTTTCTAGACATAGGCATATTTCGTAGACGTTAGATCATACAGTATTTGTCCTTTGGTGACCCTCAGAACGTTTTCAAGGTTCATCCATGTTGTAGCAGGTGTCAGGATTTCATTTCTCTTTCTGACTAATATTTCATTGTGTGGATGGATCACACTGTGTTTTTCTCTCAGCTGTTGGTGGACGTTTCGGTTGCTTCCACATTTTGGCTATTGTGAAAGGTGCTGCAATGAACATTGGTGGCCCCTACTTTTTGAATGTCATCTCAGTCTGCCTTCTTATCTCTACTCCCTGCCAGTTTCACCCTAGCCCATCGATTGGCCAGTCAGTGACGTAACTGGGAACTCCTGAGCCCCAGTTACCAATCAAGGGGAGGGAAATTCCAAGTCTGTTTATTCTGAGTATTTCACTGACACATGTTACAACACAGTCGTTTATTAGCTCATAGTAGTATATATTTCAACATTTAAATTTTTTTTTCCGATAGGAACACAGTCATTGAAATTCACCTACTGGGTTTAAATCTGTGCTAGACCCCTGAGCACACCCTTCCCTATACAAGGTTGGGTTCCTGGACTTCTACAAGGAACCTTTGGGCCGAACTTCTCTCCCGGAGCTGTCTCCACCTTCCCTGTACCTTATGCTCTGTCCCGGGCTCTCCAGTTCCCCTCACTGCCTCCTACCTGGTGCATATATCATGTCTACCCCAGCTGGCCTCTTCCTTGTTGCACCGAGGCATCTTGTTGGCCTAATTATTGCATTCTTTGGAAGCTACTGCTTAACTGTCTCTTGAGTCCACTCTCTGTGGACACTGGGTCAATCCCAATTTACCACCCTTTGTCTGCACCTTGTTGCCAGGACTCCAGCCTAGGTCTCTCTCCCTAAGCCCTGGTCTGTTCAGGAAGGCAGTTCCCATACCTGCCCTTCCTGAGCCATCTACCACCCATTTCACTCACCTTCTCTCCTCGGGGCCCTGGCACACCAGGGGGACCAGATCTTCCCTGGAGGAAAGAAAGGAAAAGGGGGCTCATTGCCGGAGGTAACTGGAGAAGAAAGAGGCCAAGGGGCAAATGCAGCTGTAACCTGGCTTCCCCAGCAGGCACACATCCCTCGGACCAGACTTTGTGGGTGGTGCCCGATGCGAAACATTCTTCCTCATGCTGACCAAACCTCACCCCTCTGTCTTTTCTCCCTTTGGAATCACACTGGTGCTTCTGTGTGGAAAAGCATTGTGAGAGAGGAAAGGACCCTTTCCATGAGGATATGAGGGGCACATCAGGGAGCATCTGGGAAGTGCGTGGGAGAAGCACATGGCCTAGATCTTCCTTTGGACCAGGTCATGTAGAAGGCAAAGTTGGATGGGTTACACTGACATCCTTATAAGATGGTGTGGACAGGGTAAATCTTTGAGTTCCCAGGGATACTGCAGATATCCCCTTCTCCTCTTCAATGGCCTCACAGGGAAGCCTTCTGAGAGTGACCAGGAGGAGATCAGAAGGAGTAGAAGCTCCTACAGGAGTAGAAAGTGATGAGAGGGCCTGGGGCCACCCAACACCAGGAAACAGTGTGAGTGCCCTGGTAGAAATGAGGGAGAATGTGGAAGAGATGAACAACCCATATCCATTCCCCTGGACAAAGTGATTTTTTAATATGAATCTATCCTAAAGAGGTACTCGGAGACACACTCACAGAGTATACACAGCATACTCACTTTCTTTTCACTATCAATAGCAAATGACTGAGCCC